TGATTAAAAAAATATGCCTTCAGATGTTATTTTTAAGTGGCTTTGGTCAGAAATGTGGTGACCTCTGTGGTGGTGAGTGTCAGCTTTCAGACATTTATGCCATTTTACTTGTTTCATATTGTTCAGATTTATATCTGTAAAGTTTCTTTGCGAGCATAGCATTCTAGCAGGTGGACTTTCTGAAACACTTCTATCAGAGCTTCATCTTAAGGGGGGGTTGGTAGAGGCAGGCAGATCATCTTGTCATCTAGACTTTCTTTGCTATAAGAAGGCATCTGTCACCATTGGATTAGACTGAAGCATGTTAGAAGCCAAGGAATGGCACGGAGTTCCTTCTACTGGAGTCCCACTTGTGCTGGCTTCCCACCTTGGAGAAGCAAGTGGGGCTGGGCCCCTGCCCTTCCTTGGGCCTGTGCTCCTCTGCCTGCTGAGCATTGTGTTTGTTGTTCTTAAGACTAGGCAGCTTGTGATTTTGTGTCCAGTGGAGGGAGATATTTTTGCAGTCACCAGAGACGTGATTAGACGAGATATGATTTTGAACTTGTGTTCTCTTTCCTTTGTTCAACTCTTATCCTTCCGAAATGCTGTCCAGGCCAAGAAAAATGGACCCAGAGAACTAGGCCACTGGCTTTTGAAGAACATTGATCAGTGAGCATATGGGATGCAGCAAAGAGACCTTCTCCTTTGTGTGATGTCATGCTGCGTGGGGGCCTGAATGTGCCCTGTGATAGCACCCACGGGGATGTCCTTTCTCAGGGCAAAGATTAAAAGAGAAAAAAAATGCCTGTAGGCAGTATCCCAAAATAATTTAAAACTGCCTGACTGTGTTTCTTTTAAGTGCCTTTGGTTTTCCAGGCTGTGTGGTAACATGAGGGAAGGACGGGTCTGAGGTGGTCACCCTCAAGTACCTACCTTCTGCACAATGGTGGCCTCACTTCCTGTCTGCTAGCCACTCTCTCTGGCTTGGGTCTCTACTGGTGTGTGTGTGTGTGTGTGTTTTACATATCACGTGAGTTCTTTCCACAGCGCATATTTGTGGGGTGGATGTGCTGTAGATAGTTGTGTCTGGACCTCCCGGTCAGACCACACTTAGTGAGTATGATGGTGTCATCGTGAGTTGAGGGAAACATCATCTTGCCTTTTATCTTGATATGCCAAGGCTGATTCTGTGTAAGCAGCCTCAGCTGTTAATGCATCCCTTGGGACAGAGGGACAAGGACAGAGTGGATATGTTGAACTGCTGTGAGCTGTCTGCAATAGTACCAAGAGAAGGCTGAAATCGAATTGGCCTTTGCTTATCAGGCCTGAGTCTCTGCATGTTGAAAGGGTGATGATTTAGGAAAAAGAAGGTCAGGATATTTTATCTTTTCTTTTGCACATTTGGGGAGCATTTCCTCTTGCATTGCTACCATTAGAAGCAGACCATTATCTTTTCCTTACCACATCACATCAAGCTTTCATTAAAAATCAATGGCAGCAAGTACCAAGCCCCATCCATAGAAAATGGTTTAAGGCAACACTGTGCTCCAGTGCTTCAGGGGTGGGGTTTCGGCCTTCTGCACCAATGGATCTGTTTCTCATACCCATTCATGCCTTCCTGACCCAGCAGCTTTTAAAAGACCAAGAAGCATTGCTCTGCTTTCTCCTGCCTCTCCGTATGAGACCAGGGCTGCGTGCCTCTAGCCATTTCCCAGAGAGCATATTTGAGACAAGTCAGCTTACTTTGCCTGCATGCCTAGGAAGCCTCTCTTTATAACCTTATTTTGGGAGAAGAGCTGTATCTAAACCTTTCCCTTTTCTCATCCAGGAGAGCGACGGAGGCGCAGATGCCAGGTGGCATTCAGCTACCTGCCTCAGAACGATGATGAGCTTGAGCTGAAAGTCGGTGACATCATAGAGGTGGTAGGAGAGGTAAGCAAGCTGGGCAGACACGTGGCTGGTCAGAACCCAACAGCTTACTCATTTCAGAGGAACCCTTGCTGCAGATTCCAAAGCTGTTTGGCCTGGACCCTGCGCATTAGAACTCAAGGAGAATTTATAGACCAAATTGGTTGAGGCTACTCTGAGGATTTGGATTCCCAGTGAAGAATGCTGATGTGGGGCGGCTTACAACATACTGTGTCCCTCTGCTTCAGTCAATACTGGAATCCAGATCTCCAGAGTGACGCATTCATCTGGGATGACACCGTTGGGTTTCATGGCAAGGAAAAGAACTGACATCCCTTAAATGTTCTAGAAGGACCTATGATGTGTCAGGCATGAGCAAGACTCTGCGTATGTTTGTTCATCGTACCTGCTTTTATTTGTCAATGAGGAAGCAGGCTCAAAGGGGCCTAGAAGAGACAGGGCCAAGGGCTAAAGCCAGGCTCATCTGACCGGAGACATGTGCCCGTCCACTGCACCACATCCTCCTGGCTTGTGGTTGGTCTTGGCTGTGCAGAGCCAACCCTGCTGGTGAACGAGGTCGCTAACCATTGAGACCATCTTCTCAGTCTCACTGCCTTGGGCTTAGACTTAGAATGTGATCATTCATTCTGATTCAACACTTGTAGCTGAATACGGAAATACAGTTTTCTGATGGTTTTCACTTTCTGAATACCATTTGACCTTACCAAAGGCCACGATTTACCAAAAAGGAAGCTAGAAATCAAGGAGGAGGTTAAGTGAACTATCACGTGGGTGGAAGTGGCAGAGCTGATTTTAGAAGCCAAATTTCCTGATTTTCCTACAAATACAAAGTGAGCATGTGTCCAAGCTGTATTTAACTCATTAATGAGGGACTTTGCAAGATGGTAAGACTAATTCAAATTGATTATGGTAATGATTGTATAACTCTGCTTGATATGATTGAACTATTGAATTGTATGATATGTGGATGAAGTACCAATAAAAAGGTTAAGAAAAGACTAAAGAGAATTGTAAGAGAATATTTATAGTGACTGAAGGAAAAATACTGGATTAAGGTGGCTAAATTTGATGCAAACTATTGCAAAGCAATAAAACTCTGATGAGGTTTGCTTTTTTAGAACACAAATCATTTGCATCTTTAAAAAAAATCATTTTATTGGGGGCTCATACAACTCTTATCACAATCCATACATACATCAACTGTGTAAAGCACATTTGTACATTCGTTGCCCTCATCATTCTCATTTACTTGAATCACTTTCAGTTTTCTACCAGATCACATCCACACAAATGGAATTAATAAAATGCCCTCATGCAAAGTCAATAGTATGCCAAACAAAAAAGACATCTCCATAAAACCCAGGAAGATGGCAGCCAGGTATCAGCCACAGAGAAGTCTCTTTGTGTATTCCGGAAAGACCAAGCAGGAGGTCAGATGGCCCATCCATGGTCTTCAAGAGAAGGAACATTCAGGTTTGATTGGTCCAGTGCACATCATGGAAAGAATGGTAAACAAACAACTCTTGGACCAGAGACAATGAATTCATTTGCCTATGTGTATCTCCCTGCCTCATGCTCCCTCTCCCATTTCTTGTTTGCTTCTGACGGGGGTTTGAGTAATGCAGGACTTAGTTGGATTTTTAAAAACCTGTCAAAGCCATTAAATACATTTTTTCTGGCATGCCACTGAAGTAAATGTTGACTTGGTAAATCCCCTGTTCCTCATCTTAGTATAGTTGACATGTTAAAAAAAATGTCACCAATGATACATCAGAATACATCTGAATAGGTAGGTACTCACAGATGGGCGTGGTCACCTCTTCAGCCACAGACATCATCCTTTTAAGTGCTTCACAAATGTAGACAGCATCCTAGATTGGGACTTGAGGAGGGGCTAAGATTCGTCCTGCTGCTTCCCCAACTTCCAGCAGAGCTAAGTAAGATCATGGAAACCACCTTCTTAGGTCCTGAGCCCACTCACATGCTGTTGCTCCAAAAGACATGGAAATTGCTGGCCACGTAGAGACACAAACTGTCAAACCACATCTACCCAAGTGGTTTCCGTGTCCGTGGTTTTACTCTGTCTCTTTCAAAAGCTACCAGGTGTAAGCTGCCCGGTTCCCCGTTCTTAGGTGAAGGTCGAATTCTCTGTTTGGGAGTAGCCATGGGTTTCCCAGCTGACTGTCCCTCAGGGATGGTCAGAGGCTGAGTTTGTTCTCAGTAGAGCCATGGATGGGAGAGGGCAGGCACCTTTTATTTCCTGGGACAGAAATTTGTCAGACTTCACTGCCATCCATATCCTACTGTATTACAGAGAGACATAAATCTCACCCTCTTTAAACAGAAACATGATGAATGCTTATTCCTTCCGGGCAGGGACTGCGCAGGCTCTGTATGTCCATTGGCTGTTGCTGAAACTCCCCAGGGAGTTTCTCCCAAAGTCCTTGGTCAGGGTCCACCACAGACTGTGTGTCCAGTACATAGGAGAGGACTGCAGAAAGAGATTTTGGGCAAAGGTCTTTATCTTTTCATTCCATGTTTTCCCCAATTTTTTTTCTCTCATGAGCTTTTTGAAGCCCCCTCATACTGGAGCAGTGGTTCTCAACCTTCCTAATGCTGCGACCCTTTAATACAGTTCCTCATGTTGTGGTGACCCCCCAACCATAAAATTATTTTCATTGTTACTTCATAACTATAATTTTGCTACTGGTATGAATCAGGCATCCCCTATGAAAGGGTCGTTGACTCCCCAAAGGGGTCGCGACCCACAGGTTGAGAACCACTGTAGAGGAATGGATGGCCCCCACAGCCTGACTCTGAGACCCACACACAAATGCAGGTAGGGCAGTACCTCATTAAGAACAGTAGCCAATGTAGTAAACTCTTTTGGTACCTTCTGCTTCGTAGAGGAAGAACAAAACCTTGTGCAGCAGAATGAGAGCTGCAGAGGCTCCTGGGCAGGATTTTCCCCCAATGATTTTCCTGTCATTCATTCATTCTGTGTGTGAGGAACTGTGCCTTACTCTTTGAATGGATGAATGAATGAATGAATGAATGAATGCAATCATTCTGGGCTTCAGAGTCCTTGTCCTTGTATAGGAAGATGAGCTAGAATATCTATGATGGGGGATAGCATGAAGTTGCGGGTCATTTTCTTCCCATCGCAGGCTATGGTAAGAGTAGTATTGAAGGGCTGGTGATGGGCTCAGACTAATCAGCCTCCTGCCTGTGGAGCCACCCCCCCCCACCCCCTCAGGAGGAGCAGCAGGTTTTCATGTCCCTCCAACTCAAATGTGGCTAATGATAGATAGGCCTCTCCTCATCCTGTCAGCCAGTCCTCCTAGACCTGCTAGGTCAAGGGTACTGGTATCTGGCTGTGTGTGGCAAAGACACCTCTTTTCCCAGCAGGCAGTTTGCTGATCCCACACATCTGGGCCACTTCTCTCAAGAATCCCAGGCTGGAGCTGCTTATTACTGGGAGCAGGAAGGTGTTTTGAGGCTGTCATGCAGAAGCGAGGGAGCCGGCCTAACTGCTCAGCACTGCAGGGATTGTGCCGGGGGCTGCTCATTTGTGGCCATGCCCTTAGCTTGGCTTCTTGTTCTGTTATTGCCAGGAGAAGGGGGGAGGGGTGTCACTTTATGGCTCCTTATTCAGAACTAGCTGAAGGGACCCAGAGATAGAGTTCAGGTGCATGGCAATTCTTCCTAAGATCTCATAAAAAGCTCCCTGAGAGGATGCTACATACCAGAGAGAAGGGGCCTGGTTTCAAAGGAAACCCTGGGCAGTCTCGTGACTTGGTGCTCAATAGTCAGGAGGGCAGTTGTGCATGGAAGCAGGTTTTGTGATTTCTCTACAGCTGCTCTGAGGAAACTGTTCTGGTTCTATCCAGTCCAGAGGCTCCCCCAACTCCCCACTTTCTGGAATATCTCACCTCCCTGTGAAAGCAATCTTTTCTGCTCTTTGAGGCCCACCTTGATTTTGCTTTCTTTCCTCTCAAAGCCTGCCTTAGATCCCAGATCTAGAGAGCTCAACTTTGGGTGGCAGTTGTGTTTTATCTGTAATCATGAGAATTTCTCATCTATTTACCTTGCATGGCCAGATTTTAGTCACCAACCCCTCCCTCCCTGTCACACATACATATACATCCTGTCTTGAAAATACATGCCTTTTACCCTCTGGAGTGGCAACTTCGTGGGTGGTAGGGACATGTTTGGTGTCTTTCGGTGTTCCTGGTCCTAGCTCACTGCCCCCATACTGACGCTGCTTTCCTGGTAAAGCTGCTGTCGCAAGCCTGCCTGCTACACGCAGTGCTCATCCTCACTGTGTCCATGGGAAAGGCAGGGCTCCCTTTTGTAGGAAATGTGAATATTGCACAGCTGCTAAGTCTCAAGACCGGATTTGAACTGGGCTTGGGACTCTTCTTAACCTTTTTAAAAATCATTTTCACTTTTAACTTGTATTCATTGATTTGGATAGGCAAATGCGCACAAGCCGTAAAAAATAAATAATCAATGTCATAGTTCTAGGTCTCTTTCTATTATACCACACGAGAAACAAACATATACAAACTCAAAACCTGTTGCCATCAAATCAGTTGGAAACAGATTGCTAGACCTTTCTTGTAAGGCACCTGTGGGTTTCTTTTGGTTTAGTCAGGTACTTACCTGCTTGCACCACCTTGCAACTCCCACACCACCACCACAGGTAACTTCATACTTGCTTGTTCTCAAAACACCCTTATGATTTTCCTCCAGGAAGTCAGCTCTGCCATTCAGTTAGTGGCACCAGTACAAATTCTGGGGATAGTTTTTGTACCTTTCTCTGGCTCGTCCTAGCTAGCTGGCTGGTCAGGGCCCTTGCATACCTCAAAGGGCCTCATGTCCGCATCTGCCTGTCCGTTCTTTCTGCTCCCCCACTCCAGCCTTCACTCTCCTCCAATCTTCACTCTCCCAGGTGACTTGGGTCTTGCAAATCTTGCACACTTTTGTTTGTGTGTTTATTTTTTGAAATTCAGAGTGCCAATTCCCTTTTAGTAAAGGGTTTTCTTTTTAGGATAGTATTTTATTGTGTGTTTTTAATGAACGTTTACAAAGCAAGATGAGTTCTTATTTAACCATTTTGATACATGCTGTTTGCTGACATTGGTTACATTTTTTACAATGTATGATTGTTCTCATCATTTCTGTTCTGGTTGGTTGGTTTCCATTTCTCTAGCTTCCTAGCCCCCTCCTTACTTTCCTATCTTTGCTTTAGAATAAATGTTGATCATTTGACCTTATATAGATTATCTTTTTCTTTTTAAGAAGCACACAGTATTCATTGGAGATGTTGTTTTAAAGCTAATCTTGTTAGCTGAAAGGTGACTTGCAGGTGCGGTTTCAATGTAGAGTTTAAAGGGTAGCTGAGGGAGATAGTCAAGGACAGTAGTTCTCAACCTTCCTAATGCCTCAATCCTTTCATACAGTTCCTCATGTTATGGTGACCCCCAACCATAAAATTATTTTCATTGCTACTTCATCATTGTCATTTTACTAATGTTATGAATTGGGTGACCCCTGCGAAAGGGTCGTTCAACCCCCAAAGGAGTCGCTACCCACAGGTTGAGAACTGTGGTCTAGGAGTTCAACTAGTCTCTACTAGTCCACTAAGTCTGCCCTTTTTATTTTAGAAGACGAGTTTTGTTTTACACCTTGGTACTGTCCATCCTTGACAGAATGGTTGGTAGTGGGAGCCAACTCCATCTAGTTCTTTTGGTCTCGGCAGAGAGGAGGCCATGATTCATGGAGGCTATTGGACTAGTAGACTAGTTTCTTCTTTGCGACTTTGGTTTCCTTCATTGTCTCTTTCTCTATTTGAGTAGAGACCATTAGTTGTGCCGTAGATGGCCATTTCTAAGCATTTAACGCCCCAGATATTACTCACCAAATTAGGATGTAGAACATAAATTTGATGAACTATGTATGCCATGTCAATTGACCGAGTTGTCCCACGAGACGATGGTCTAAGCCAGGGGTTCTCAAACTTTTTAAACAGGGGGCCAGTTCACTGTCCCTCAGACCCGTTGGAAGGTCGGACTATAGTTTTTTTAAAAAACTATGAACAAATTCCTATGCACACTACACATACCTTATTTTGAAGTTAAAAAACAAACGGGGCAAAAACACCCGGAGGGCTGGATAAATGTCCCCGGCGGGCCGCATGTGACCCACAGGCCATAATTTGAGGACCCCTGGTCTCAGCCTTCAGATCCAGTCAACCATGCCCACGAGATGTTTACTTTGGTCTAGGAAGTCTCTGTAGCTGCCCCCTTTGTTTATTTGTTGTCCTGTAGTAGTTGCCCCTGAGTCAGCCTGAATCATGGCAACCCCATGTGTGCAGAGTCGGTCCACTCCACGGGGTTTCCAAAGCTGTGACTTTCCAGAAGCAGATCCCCAGGGCTGTCTTGTGCAGTGTCACTGGGCGCGTGCAAACAGGAACCTTTAGAAACTCGCGAGGAACCTGCCTTTGGATTGCGCTTTCCACTTCTTGACACAGGGCTTCTTCACTGATTTTGTTAGTCTGCCTCACTTGTTTTGATAGCCTGCTGATGCCATTCTCAGCTTTTAAATCTTGTTTTAAAATGTACAAAAGAAGATGTAATATTACAAAGGTAACCATGTATCTTGAAGTAACCAACTATTTGAATAGGACATTTTGATGCTTCCTCTCTAACACAGCAAGTACCCAAATCACCCAACAGGTGCAGTATATGTAAGCATTCAAACAGTGATGACTGTAAATGATATCTTAAGGTACTTGTAGCCTCTGTCATTGGCTATGGAAATATCCGTGATTGGTTTGATGTGCAGTCACAGAAACTATATGTAGCATTACTATGGTTTGTTTCCTGTGTTCACAATTGAAGGACATGCTAGATTTCAAGTTACTGAATGAAAAAAAAATTTTTTTTCTATTTGAGTTTATGGATCCCAGGTTAAAATCCCCAACCTTACCCTGATTCTCAAACTACATGGTTCCCTTTCCATGTGCCCTTACAGCCTTGTAGCTTTGAGGCCTGCAGCATTCCCTGGGTGGGTTCTGACCTCCAAACCAGGGAGGTGGTGGACAGAATTGAAGTCACCACATCTGACTGCAGGCCTGCATCTCTTCTCCTTTGTGTGCTTCTGTGCAGGTAGAGGAAGGATGGTGGGAAGGTGTTCTCAATGGAAAGACTGGCATGTTCCCTTCCAACTTCATCAAGGAGCTGTCGGGAGAGTCCGAGGACCTTGGCATTTCCCAGGACGAGCAGCTCTCCAAGTCAAGTAAGAAAGCCCACCTCTCAGAGCCGGACAAGGGGTGGCTGGGGCGGCATCAGACTCAGCTCTTTCTCCCTTCACTTCCATATCCTGTGCTGATACCCTCACAGGGGGTGGGGGGAGTTGGTTATACACCCACCGTTATAAGCCCACTGTGGCTTAGCAAATGGGTCACTTTCCCTGCACAGGGGACGGTTGACCTTCTGGCCATGTGATATTGGCTCCTAGGTGACCCAGGTTTCTAAAGGGTCAGTCAATGTACATTGGCAATTAATTTTAGAACGAACCGAGTGGGTACCCCCCTTTCTTTGTAATCCTTGAGGAATGTGGAGAGAAATCGCATGCCCTCTATCCACCCCCCCACCCCCCAAATCCTTAGTGAAGAGAGGTTCTATAGCCAAGAAGAGTGCATGTCATGCCCAAAAATGTCTTAATCAAGACTCTGGAGAGACCAGGCCCCACCTCGGTGAAGGTGAGTACTCTGAGACAATGAGAACGAACCTCAGATCTTTCTTTCTCCAGGTCCTGAGTGTCTCCCTCCAGCTTCTCTGCTGCCCTTTCCAGCTCATGGAGCAAAAGGTCAGCACCGGGAAGCTGTGTTCTCCCAGTCGCTAACCCGATTTCCTCTGTGGGCGTCTGTGCGTCTCTCGTTCCGTCTTGGCCAAGGCCATGGGTGTTGATGTTGTAAAAGGGTTGCCTGTGTCCTGCTGGGGCAGCACTATGTGGGGGCAAAACCTCTTCTTCCCGAGGAGAGTGGGTAGGGGAGCAGCTCCATCAGCCAGGATAATTCTCAAGCTCCTTTATTTTCCATTTGGAAAATCTGACTTGAGTGATGGTCTCATCTTGTTCTGTAGCTGTTGTATTTGAGCGATAGCACAACTGGACAAATTCCCAATTTGGAGGTAAAGTCCTTTCAAGGGATGCGCCCCACTGACCTCACTTCTGCCTCTGTGGCTCTGGAGTGTGCAGCCCACTGGGGCTTCAAGAACCACCCAGTCTGACGGGGGATGGGGGGGACCTTCCGGCTTTAACAGCCCAGCTAATAAAGGGCAGAGGGTCCCCAGGCCCCACTTTATAGCGAGTGAGTAGGGCTCCGGAATGCCCCATTGGGATTCAGAGTGCCTCTGGTGCCTTTCTAGATACCTTGAAATGTAGCGTGCTACCCTAGTTAGGTCCTGTGGTAAACATAAACATACTCTACCTCGAGGACCATGCGTACTGAATGAGCATTCTTGGAGTGAAGACAAATGATAGCTTTATTTCCATCGGGACATGTATTACAAGTCCCAGTAACAAGTCATGTATATAAAGCCATCTAGTCCAGAGAAGGCCCTCAATAAATGGTCGTTGTCATTGTTAGTAGTGACAACCCTTTGGAACAGACCAGTTAGTAAGTGGAGGTTGCGTGGACACTGACTGATGTCATATTCACTGAAACTGTGCGCCTGCAGTTGGAAATTCTTTGGGTTCTGTGCTGATAGAGAAGGGCATGTTAGGGCCAATGTTAGACAACCTCTTTGGGAGATCTTTGATCTCTTGACATCCTACCGTCCCAGCTGTAGACGGAACAGCTGAACAGAGAAGTGATGACTTTGCACTTTGGGAACTATTGACAAAGCTGTCTCTTCTCACCCAGCTCACTGATCCAGACACTGGACCCTGCATGCCCCCTCAGCTCACCGCCTATGGGGCTGGTGTTCTGGAGCTGAGCAGGGTGGTACCCACGATCACTTGCCTTTGTTCACTTGCTTATAAGGGGCTCTTTTCTGCATGTAGAGACACCCCCCCCACAAACACACACAGAGTCATTCAATTAAAAGGCCTCCATTTCAAGAGTAGGAGAGCCCAGCAGTCATGGGGGTGTTTGGATTCAGCAGCCAAACTTCGTTTTAAGGAATCAGTCCATTGTTGAGGGGGACGGAGCTCCCTGGAGAGATGTGGTCTCCTAACAAAGATGGATGTTCCTGGTGAGAACCACGTGGCTTTTGTAATCTTCCTGCATATACAGGTACGAAGAAGGGGGCATATCGCTCCATCTGTATATATCTGTTGAGCCATTCATCCAACCAGCCAGCCATCGTTCGCTCTCCTTGTCTTTCCTTCTTCACTCACTCAGCCCCTTTTATCACTAAGGCATTGTATAAGGCTGGGCAGATCTGCAGGGTCCCTGCCCTCTGTAAGCTCATGCTGCAGAAAGGAGTGCACATGTCAGCAGAAATTGAGGAAGGGGTCCCAAGTGTCTGAGGACCAGTGGGCTACAAAGGCAGAGAGGCCAGTCCAATCAATGTGGGGGTGGGTGGTCACAAAGGGCTTCAGTGAAGAGCAGGTGTGATAAGAATGCCCCTATGACTAGCTAAATTGAAATAAACCCGAGAAAGGGAGAGAAATTGTGGCTGTCAGTGTTTGGACAGGTTTCTCAGTAGCTATTCATCACTCTGAATTTGCTTCAGCTTGTGACTGAGGAGAAATGGCTGTAATCAGCTCACATCAAATGTAGAAGTGGTGTATACTGGTGAGATTTGTCCACTTCGTTTGAGAGTGAATCTGCTTATGCCCTAACCCCAGAGAATGCTGGTATTTTGGTGTGATTTAATTTTTTAAGAGCATGCTTTATTTTGAAATAATTAGAGTTTCATAGGAAGTTGCAAAAAAATATGGGAGTGTCTCATGGACTGACTCTTCATCCAGTGGGAATAATATTTTGCAGCACTAGAAAACCTAAAGGACAAACCTGGTCCTGTCGAGTCAGTTAGACACGTAGTGACCTATAGGACAGAGTGGGACTGCTCATGGGGTTTCTTTTTCGAGGCAGACAGCCTCATCTTTCTCCCACAGAAGCAGCTAGTGGCTTTAAATCACCAACCTTATGGTTAACAGCCCAGTGTTTAACCCGCTATGCCACCAGGACTCATTTTAGAGGTCGTGGTGACAGGACGCAAAATGCCTCTTAATTGGAATTTTTCCAGGCATTAGGGTGAGGTGATTTCTTTAATGTAGTTTTATTGGGACATAATCCAAATATCAGATAATTCAACAGCCTTATAAAGAAGAGTTGTACAATCATTGCCACAATCAATTTTAGAAGGGGTGAGGTTTTTAAAGGTGGATAAAATCTGTGCTTGGGTACACATAAAGAGAACCACTTGTTCAGTCTCCCTCTCTCTCTCTCTCTCTGACACACACACACACACACACACACACACACACACGTTTATTTGGCATTCGTCCTCTTCACATTTCTACTTCCAGAAAGCATTTGAGGTAGTTAGCTATTCCGTTGTGTTCAGTGAGCCCATGGGCTGCGATAGAAGAAACAGTGACGATATGTTTACAAAGAAGTGTGCCAAGTCTGCCTAACACATTCTAGAGGCTCAGTAATTGCTTGTTGGATCATTAATTATTCTGAGGAGGTGCTTTCTCTTTGAATGACAGGATAAAAATGGCCAAATTTGCTTTTCTGATGTACTTTTACATATGGTGGTTTATTGGAAAAATTGCATAACTTTCTTAGATCTTTATTCAGGGTAATCTCATATGCCAAGGAAAGAGTTGTGAACCCTTGTATCTGTTGATAATGTAGTTTAAATCATGGTATTTCACAGAAGGAATTTCAGCTAGGTAGTAACAGAAACCCTTTGCAGCAAAGTTCAATTTGAAAGCATCATTCCCTTTGCATTTTAAAAAGAATTTATGGAATGTTAAAGGTGGTTTTTTGATTATTTAAGCACATGTAGATTTTTTATCGAACCTCTCTGATATGCACAAACGTAGAGAGAGTATTATGATGAACTTCCATGTTTCTGTCACTCGGGATCAGCAATTTTCAACCTATGGCCAATTGTGATACTGATACTCTCCCTCAGGCCTCTCCTCTATTGTTTTGAAGCAAACTCCCGCTGTTGCATGTTTTCATTATGTATCGTAAACCAAGAAGCTCCCTGCTATTCAGTCGACTCATAGCAACCCTATATAGGGTTTCTGAGACTATAAGCCTTTGCAGGAGCAGATAACTTCAACTCTCCCGTGAAGTGGCTGGTGGGTTTGAACCAGTGACCTTGTGGTTAGCAGGCCAGTGCCTGACCAACAGCACCAACAGGGCTCAGGGCTCCTTGCCTATCAACGAAAGTATTCTTTAAGATTCTGTTCTCTCTCTCTCTCTCTCTCTCTCTCTCTCTCTCCCTCTCCCCCCTCTCCCCCTCCCTCCTTTCCTCCTTCCCTCCCTTCTTCTTCCTCCCTTCTTCTCCTCCTCCTCTTCCTCCTCTCTTCTTTCTCTCTCTAACACACACCCTGTAATTCCTTACTATATAATTAAATATATAGTCAGTGTGTACTTTTCCTTAATTGTCTTATGTTTTTAAAAATAATTTTTTAGTTTGATTCCAGATTCAAATAAGGTACATAGATTGGGATTTGTTGATAACTCTCAAGTCTGGATTCATCTATCTTTTTCTGCTCCATATTACCTTTTTTGTGCTGTTTTTTCCTGAAGAAATTGAGGTCATTTAGTCTATTTCCCACAGTCTGCCTTTGCTCATTTCATCTCTACAGTGCTGTTTAACTTATATTCCTAGGAATGTATCATTTGAGTTATAAGTTTGATCAGATTCAAATTTGATCTTCACAAAGGGGCTTCAAAAAGTTCCATTCTCTTTTCATTTTCCATGAGTTTTTGGAAGCGCCGTCATATATTCCCTCCAAGACTGTTCATAGGTGGAGCCTTGAGTGTCTGGGTGTGGCCTAGCCTAAGAGTATCGAGGCCAAAATTATTGGCCAGCCTTCCACTCACTCATGCATGCACACTTGCACACACACACCCATGCTGTAACGTTGGCTCCATTACCATGTAACACCTTTTCACACAACACCTGGAAAATTTAGCCTGTTGTACAGTGTAGCCTGTTTCTTCTTAACACAGATCATGATTAATTCATTGCTTTTTTACTTAGAATTTTGCCATGCTACTAGTATTGACTAAATACCATGAAACTGAGCTTAATTACTCAATGTTATAATCACAGAATAGTGTGATTCTTATAAGATTGATTTGAACTCGATTGGCAAGGAAACCTGGGTCTATTGTTTAACTTCAATTTCATACATATTTTGCTTCACGTTTAACATAGAAATTGATTTTTTAATTTAAAAATATTTTATAGTATTCAATTTCTTAGCTTCTAAAATCATTATTCGTAAAACTAGAAAAAAGTATTCCTGTGTGGATTCCCCCACCCCCATCTGATAAGCACAAGAACATTTTCAGTTATTACTCATAATCTTCTGAAGGAGCAATTTTACATTTTCTTCCTATAACCATTAATAACCATGACTTTCTATTTGAATTAAAATTCTCCTTATTTTAGCATTTTGGGATCTGCTACTTTAGTGACAGAGAGAGATGATCACTTAAAACAACTTTCATGATGCAGAAATCCTGTTTTCATTAGCTGTATAAAACTGGCTATCCATTCCCCACCTTGTATAGAAATTATCATTCTTAGATGCTAGTCCTTTTGTCCTTGAATCTTCGATCACCAGTGAAGAGCAACTAGCAAGTTGATTTAAACAGAGTGTGAGGTCAAATTGGATGCTAGCATAAGCACATGATTTTGTATTTGATGGTTTATGTTTTCCATTTTCAAGTTTTTATTAATTGCAGTCAAGTATTTCCTCAGCTAACGTAAGCATGCGCTGGCATGGTCAGACTCTGGAACTCTGCAGGTCCCGTCAGCCTGTGTAGCCACTCCTACTCCCCGCAACCCAGGCTGGAATCGCCTGGTTCTGCCAGGGAACAGTCAGACTTGGCTGAACACATTGACGATTCAGTCTGTTCAATTGTCAATCTCAGCCACTCTCACTTGTTCCTGGGGACGAGCACATGGAGGTGATGCTATACCTTGGGGAACATGATGGAAATACTGTTTGTCTCCCGACTCTTAATTTTTTTGCAAGCTTGCAAAACTCCCGTGTGCTGCCCCAGGAACATTATTTGACATCATATTAGCTTAGAGACTTGGGCAAAGCAGGATACAAACCTGCCCCCATAAAGACTAGCTACTGCCAGTGCTCTGCTTTTGTCCTCAAAAATCCTCAAGAGGTGCAAGCCTAATAATAATATTTGAGGAACATTTGACTGTCTACATTCTTTTTCTAGCCAGCCTTTGGAAAGCCTCCAATTTGGGGCTTGAATTGGATGGAACCTATCTGTCCTCAAAGGGAGGAGTGCAAAACCAGGGGTGCCTCTGCCTATAGGACGTGGATGTTAGAAATACCCAGCCCCCTCCAAGTTGCCCCTCGGTGTCTTTACGGTTCCCCCTGTGTATTAAAGGTGATGGGACCCAGAAGCTGACACTCTGGTTCCTACGGGGCTGCCCTCTTTCGAAGGCTGTGCTTTTAAGAAGTAGACGGGTCGCTCTCCTCTCATTTCTGCCCCTAGCTTCTCTGCGAGCATGATCTACCTTACCATTTGGCAGGCTGCCTCGGACGTCCTGTGACTGGTCTCCAGGTTGACCCTTCCACGATAAACCATATACTAGCACTGATTCCTTGGCTAACATTTCAGTTTACCTACCAGGGGTACTCTAGGACTGTGTGTGGGTGTGGGAGGTAAGAGGCCATTCAAACCAGAGCATATGTGAACTTTCTTTTACTTGGTCATGAGGCCAGAGTTATCTGAGCTTCAGCTGTGTGTCCGGTCTCATGCTGTTGATAACCTCTACTTGTAACATCATAAAAATAATTGGACATTTTACACTGGATGAGCCCTATGTCCTCATGCCTAAGTGCAGTCTCATGACTGATAGGACAAAACCTCAATTAAGTTGTTTCAAGAATGAGGGTTTTGTGCTTTCCGTGGCGCTAAGCAAAAGGTCCTTTACATTGATAGGGGTGCACTGTTGGTTTCAAACTTTCTCGCTGAAGATCTTCTTCTAGTATATTAATACATGTCCAGGTCTGAAAGTGCAGGAGAAGATAATAGTTCATTAGAGATAATTCCAGATCTTGTTTAGCATCTCAGAGTCATATATAGCAGTTTTCATTATCTAAGGCTCTAGGAGTAGAAGACACAGGATAATGGACCTACATTTTTACTAAGATCGAGTCATATTCTGCAAAGATATGACTGCACTGTATATATAATTGACTTAATTAAGGAATCTGATCAATTGGATTCTCTCTGGTTAATTGAGGTTTTCCCATTCATGAGTTAAGATGTCAAAATGGCTCCCCGGTCAAAATGGGCATAATCTGCTGTGCTGGGCAAGTCCTGATCCGGGGTGCACAGTGCCATCACTATTGCATGGGGACTTTGGGCTCATTCTGTAATATTCTTAACTCTGCCTAATGGTCTCTAATGAATTTTATGGGTAAAACTCTTGCAGCGGATTCATTGAAGGCAAGTTCAGTTAAAGACTCTTCCTCTTCCTTCTTTTGCCATCATTTGCTCCCCCTCCCTCCTCTCTTGTTTTTCTCTCCCCTTCTCTTCTCTCATTCACTGTCAGGAAAGACTACCTTTGAAGGGACAATTCTGTACCGAGCTGCACCGGGAAAGACGGAGGGCCACAGACGCTATTACAGTGAGTGACCGTAACTGAAGGAGGAAATTGTAAAGCTACGCTCTGGGTACTTGTGTTTTTTGATGCAGCTGTGCTTTTCCTGAGCTGCCCATGCGTTTGCCAAGTGTCTGCGTGAACTTCCGACCCAAGGACATGTCCTTATTTTCCTGAGATAAGTGCCATCTCCTTGGTATTGTGACAGGAGCATTCTCACCACCAGTCCCTGGTGCTTCTTGTTTGCTTTGTGGCTCTATCATGTATGTGACATGCGTGCATGACCCATGCGTGCAGAGAAGGGAACATTTGCCATGCCAAGGGCTTCTGGGGAAGTGAAAGATGGCTTGCTTTGGAGATGCCAGCCTCTCATGTTACTGCTTTTTCTGAGGGGGCCTTTGGAAACCCATAAAGCATTTGTCCATTGCTTTATGGTTCACAGAAATAAATGTCTGGCAGGGAAGTCCATGCCAGGCTTGGTGTTAGGCTTTGCTCCTCCAGCCTATCACCAGAAAGCAAGACCAGTGTCTCCCCTTTTGTGCCTTGAAAGAAAGTTGCCAGATGTTGCAGGGGAGAGAGATGAATAAGATCAATGGGTTAATCTCGTGAAGCCCTTTCAATAGTTCCTGCCACCTACTAAGCACTAGACCTGCATGTGCTAAAGTCCAAATAAATAAATAAATAAAGTGGCTCCCAGATCTAAATCGCTAGAATCATAAGGAAAATTACACAAACATGGTCAATTGTACCACCAGCAATAGCAAATTTGAGGAGGCTTTGTTCATTTTTCACCTTGAAAGTAAAAAGGCTCATCTTTGTGCATAGATATACTCATAGAAGTGATACAAGAGAATGTTTTGGCAGGAACAGCAGAGCCATGCTTCTCCAACTGTCTGTGGTGATGTTGATGTTGCATTCCATCCCTCCAGGAACGGAGACACGGGCCTTGTGCGCATAGCTGCTGTACAGGCAGCATGCCTCCTTATGGGAGTTGGGTGGCTCCTGGACTGGTCAGTGCCAACCACTAGCCATTCCACTAGACGAGCCACTGGCCACATGGCTGGAAGTCTCACCAGTCCACATTGGTGTACTGTACACCTTTCTAACACACACAGTCAGCCTTGGCCTGACTGTGTCCCTATGGCAAACCCACTAAATACCAGCCCCAGTCCACAGACCACACTGGGTTCCCCGTCTGGAAGGGTCATCTGGCATTTGAGCATGTCATGGGAGCATTTTAGGGATCTTGTGGGGTGGGAGCACCCACAGCTAAATGATGCAGCCCCAACCAGACATGAAAATGGCAGGAATTCATTTTTCAATCCAGCTAGAAGGAATTTGATGTGGAGTTATTTCCCAATCCCTCCGGGTCAGATACTTAACGACTCCCGTTGAAGTACTCTAATCAGGCTACCAGAATTTCCAGAAGAAAATCTGCTGTGTATTTCCTTCCAAGGTCATACTTGTGTAGTTGAGGGACTATGTGACCTCTCCCCATGTGGTGTAAGGAGGGTTTCTCGCAGTGATTCACCTGAAGTTGGTAAGATGAGCCTAGAAGGCAGCTCCTACCGAAAAACCGGAGCACAGTGATGCTTAGGATGGCAATAACGGACAGCATTACAGTTCTAGTTAGTGTGGAATAAAAGAACCTTTTAAATTCCCCTCTTGAAGAACTAAAGCCAATTTACCCTCATCCGTTTGTCCTGCCACCTTCTGGGGCAGGGGAGGGGCGGTTCCTTTCCATTAACCCAGTGGTTCTCCACCTTCCTAATGCCACAACACTTTAATACAGTTCCTGATGTGTGGTGACCCCCAACCATAAAATTATTTTCGTTACTACTTCATAACTGTTATTTTGTTATGAATTGGGCGAACCCTGTGAAAGGGTCATTCGACTTTCAAAGGGATCGAGACCCACAGATTGAGAAGCGCTGCATTAACTATTGCTTTATTTTACTCTTAAGTGGGCCTTTCCAAACCAGAAAAGAAAAAGATACACAAGCCATTTATCACATTAGAAAGAATCCATACGGCAAAATGAGAACATGTTAAGGGGGAAATGACACAATATTTAGACTCCAAAATTATATCTCCGGCAGGGATAGTTCCAAAAACAATGAACAAATCAGTACCGAGCGGGTAATGAAACTAGGGGTGCTCCCTGTTTGCACACTCAGAGTCAGACCTACACACTGTGGCCGGGCTCCTTGTCAGGCCAGGCCCCTGGTCAGGCTGGCTGGATTATGCCCTCAGCCCGTGCCCACGCTGCTGTTCTGTAGTTCATTAAAAAGTGCACCCGGATCTTTCCCTGCCCCACCGTTTGGCTCATAAATGTCATTTTATTGAAAGCAGCAGCAACAACACACCAGACCACTGCTTTAAGAACTTGATTGTTGAAAATTGTCTGCAATTTTTAATGACCTTTCTATATTTGTCTGTTTTCATTTAACAGTTTCTTCCTGCTCTGAGACTTCCTTATTTGAATGGCTTCAACATTTTATGACAGTTTATGTGAGCAATTATTTGGTGTATCATTCGTCTGTGCTGGGAGGCCACCACCTTACCTTTAGGAGACTATGGGCTAATCCCACTGCCAGCAGTTAGCCAGTTGTTTCCGCCTCAGAGCAGCTCATAGGCCAGAGTAGAACTGCTCCCTAGAGTTTCCGAGACTGTCAATCTTTATGGGAGCAGACAGCCTCATCTTGCTCATTGGCTCATAGAGAACAAAATTTGATGGCGTGCATTCATCTCAAAGGCATCGCTACCACCTGGCGATGTGCAGGAACTACCTAGGAGGCTTTTCGAGTCGGGTTTAATGACAGAATTTAGTGTCCCACAAATGACTGTTTCAGCCTTGCCCTTTGATGGGGTAACTGATACCCAGGTACCATTGTGCACTCCGAGATGAACTAGGCTCTTCCCTTTAGGACATGATTGGGCAGAGAAAGCCTGGGGCACGAGGCATCTGGGGAGGTAAGTGTCCTGAGTTGATTGCTGATGCCTTGTTGATGACTTTCAGCACAGACCACAGGAGGTCAGAGGAAGGGTGTCATGTACCCAGTGTTCTTCTTTTGGAAAGGGATTGAGCAGGGGTGTGGGGGGTAGGGGGATGGGGAGGCGTAAATACGTGATGGTGTTCAGAAGCAAAAGAGCTTGTGGTGGATGGGGGTGGTTCTGGCCGCTGGCTTTTTGTTTCCCTCATCTTGCTAGTGAACCCATCTTAATGTCAGATTTGGTTTCATGCCGTCCTAGAGAAACACGCCTGCATGCGTTTATTCCTTGTGAAACCATCCAAGAAGATTTAATTCTTTGGCAGTCATAATTTTGTATGGTTTCTTTAATTGTTAATTTGTTTAAATGGCTTTTAGCTTTACAGTTTCCCTTTAGGAAACGTTACTTTCATTGCTAATTGCTAATTGACATGAGTCCTAAAGATTGGAGGTACAGTATGTGGTCCTGCCAGGGCTGGGAAGGGAGGAGGGGAGAAGCAGGGGGCATGGGGAGCCAGTGGTGAATGAACTATTGTCACACAGACTGTGGCCAAACAAATGCAGAGCTGAGCAAGCTCCTGCTGAAGGCCAGGGAGGTTCCATGTGCAAAGGAAAATCTACTTTGAAAGAAGATTTTCTGAAAAGTTGCTTCTATTCATTTCTTAAAAGTAAAGGCTGGGTAGGGCGGAGATGATTAAACAAAACTCAAAGCCACTTCTGAATACAAAAAACTCCAGTGCAAATGATTCTTGTTTCTTTAAACTATAATAAATCATTTCATTGGGGCCCCTTACAGCTCTTATAACAATCCAACCATCAGTTGTATCAAACACAGCAAACGATTCTTGACCCAATAACACAGGGAGAGGTGGTCTCTAGCTGGTCGGGCAGTGCTCCAGGGGTAAGAGTCATTTCTGAGATCTTTCTCCCCCCAACCCTCCCCATCTTGGCAGGTTTGCGGGAAACCACAGGCTCTGAAAGTGACGGTGGGGACTCGAGCAGTACCAAATCCGAAGGTGCCAATGGAACTTTGACAACTGCAGCAATCCAGCCGAAGAAAGTGAAGGGCGTGGGCTTTGGAGATATTTTCAAAGACAAACCAATAAAACTGAGGCCAAGGTCGATTGAAGTAGAAAATGACCCTCTCCCCATGGACAAGGTATGCTTGACAGTTTCTGGTATATTTCATTGTAATGTGGCGTACCCAAAGATTATACATGGTAGGGTTCAGGGTGCCTTCTTGGGGGCTTTGCCCCCTCCCTACCATATCTTTCCCTCAGGGTACCAAAGGCTGGAGCAGTAGTCTACTGTTTCCTGTCTCACTGCTCCTCCGTTTTCCAGACTGGCTTTTCCAGTGGTGTACACGTCTTTCTTTTATCCTTCACAGCAAAGCCCCTCCTGCCTGGCCACAATGAAACCGAATCAGTGACCTTGACCTTGACCCTTATCAAATACCCACCCGCTCTCCTCATACATCTTCCCAGTGCTTTGAGCTTGGGTGTGTTGACTAGTTCCATTGTAAAGAAAAGAAATTGGGTGTTTCTCGCTCAGGTAGTTAGGTGAAGATTTCAGACCGCTGAGAGGAAGTGTGTGTGTGTGTGTGTGTGTGTGTGTGTGTGACAGCCTGTGTGTGTGTGTATGTGTGTGAGAGAGAGACAGAGAGACAGCCTGCACTGTGACACCCTGGGTTGTTCCCATCAGGGGGAGTTAGCTGGGGGGTTTTTTGCCTCTGGTTTTGGGTTGGCAAGAGGAAGGCAGCTTTGTGTAGCTCCTGAGTACATGGTTGCCACGGCAACACACCTAGTGCCATCCATGCTTGTGGCTGTCAGTGATGTCTGCTATGGCCCACTTCTGAGCATACTCCCCTTGCTTAGGATTTGATAAACACTGTGGAATTTTCCAGATAGTAATAAGGAGCACTCACGCTGTGCTTACGGGATATTTGTTAATTCGATTGAGTACTAACATTTTTGCTTTGACATTTGTGCCAGCGGCCTTGGGAGATGGGGCATTGGCAACATGGTGAAAGCAGGTTCATTGGTGGCTTTGAAATGTTTTCCATTTTTCAGTTCAGTGAGGTGAAGTTTGAAAGGTTGCATCATCTTCGTCAGCCATAGAACTTATGCTGCCCCTCCACCCCGCCCCTCACCCCAGCAACCTTTCCCAGTGTCACCTTGCCTTAAAAAAATGAAATTTAAAAGGGAAACTTCTACCCTTAGACATGAATAAGGCAGGGAGAATAGATACTTAAAAATTAAGGACAGTTTCATTGAAGTTGTTCATTTTGTTGAAGCTTCTTTGTTTTTGCTAAAAATCAATATACTAGCGTAAGCGAAAAAGCACTGCATGCACCAGTTTATTCCAAACAAAACTGTTTAGAGCATGTCTCTACAATCAGTGGATGGCTGCAGACAAGTTGTCTCAGTAATAACACTTGTTGTAATCCCCTTAGGGTGCCTTTGTACTGTGGGATAAATGATTTTGAGGCCAGGGTTAATATCAAATTTATAACAAAACTCAGTGGACATCTTCCCATACCATTTAAGCTCTGCAGTAAGCTCATAGGAGTGCTGCCCCATATAAAACAATAGTTTTCAGATGGAGCAGTCAATCATCTTAAGGAAGGCCCGGAAGACCTCAAAGATGAATTCCAGGCACAGCACCAGAATTCTTTAGAGAAGGGTTGTTGTTAATTAAGACTCACAGTGACTCCTTTTATACAACATGTTTGAACCGATTATTGCAGCCACTGAGTAAGTCCCTCTTGGTTCTTCCTCTTCTTTGCCGACCCCCTAATTTAACAAGCATGATGTCCTTCTCCAAGGACTAGTTCCTCCTGAAAACATGCCCAAAGTACGAGAGAGAAAGTCTTGCCCTCCTCACTTCTAAGGAGCATTCTGGTGGTACTTCCTCAAAGACAGGTTGGTTTGGTCTTCTGATGGTCTGTGGTACTTTCTCCATTCTTTACCAGCACCACCATTCAAATGCATTGATTCTTCTGTGAGCTTCGGGCTTCCTCATTCATCTTCCAACTTTCACAGGACTGTAAGGTAATTGGCAATACCATGACTTGGATCAGACCCACATTAATCCTTAAAGTGACATCTTTGCTCTTTAACAGTTTATGGAGGTCTTGTGCAGCAGAATTGCCCAAGGCATTATCTTGGGTTTCTTGACTGCTGCTTCTGTGAGCATTGAACAGTGGATGTAGCTTTCCTTCATTTTATGCAAGTGGTTTAAATGAACCTGACCAGTCAACCATTTTAATTTGTTTTATGATCCTTTGTCTCATTCTTCCTTGTATAGGGAAACATTGTGTTATTGCTTCTTGCTGTTATTGATATTTGCTTGAACTGATAATAATAAATTGGGCTATTGTCAACAATAGCAATCAAATATAATACTCCCAAGTGTCTGCCTCACTACATTTCTCCCCTAACACCCCACCCCACCCCACCCCCGCCCCCTGGTGTCCCTGACTCCTATCCCATCCTGTTTCCCATCTCTTGGGAAATCCTATAAGCTTTGTTTCCTCAATATGTCCAAGGCGCAACCACTTCTTACCTCCCACCGTCTCTTGGTATCTCTGCAGGGCCCCTTCCTGCCCCCCCTGTCCCAACAGCGCAGCCAGAGGCAACCTTTGCAGACCCACGTCAGGCCATGCCACTCAGCTGCTCACTCCCTGCAGAGGCTTCCCATTTCATTCAGAGCAAAAGTGAAAGCCCTTGCCATGGCCCAAGTGGCCTAGGGAACCTGACCCCTCTTACCACTCCAACTTTTTTTCCCACGGCTGTCTCCTCGCTCACTTCCTCAAACAGGTCACACATGCCGACTTTAGGGTCTTCGATCCGGTAGTCTCTGCTGCTGGGCCCACTCCTTCCCTGACCTCCTTGAAGGCTCTGCTCTGATTGCACTGCCTAGGGGATTCTGAAACCTGCTTCCTTTCCTCCACACCTCTTGCATTTTGGGTTCTCCATTGCATTGCTCTACCTTGTTGTGGTTAGGTGCCTTTGAGTGGATGCTGACTCATAATGATGCCATGTGTAACAGAGCAAAAAGCGCCCATTTCTGCCCCATCCTCACAATGGTTCTTATATTTGAGCCCATTGTTATGGCCTCTGTGTCCATCCGTGTAGGCGTTATTTATTTGTTACCATGTTTACAATTTATTTTGTTCACTGATGTACATTCTGTGCCATGTTATCAGAACAGTGCATGGTGCATTAGTGGTGCTCAGTAAATATTTGTAGAATGTAAGATATTAAAAACTATTCTGGCATCATTCATGATGATGGACATCTATAACATGAGGGAGGGTGAATGAGATAATTTAATAGTATGAGGGGGGCTTCAAAAAGTGTGGGGAAAGATAGAAGTAAAAGATAATGGGATTTTTACTGATTTTTTGAAGGCACGAATGGTTCAGTCATAGAATTTGCATCTTCTATGCAGGAGACCCGGGTCTGATTTCAGGCCAATGTACCTCCAACACAGCCACCCCCATTTGTCAGTGGAGGCTTCTATGCTTTTATGATTGCAGTGGCACTTCCACACTAAGATGGACTAGTAAGAAAGTCCAGATGATCTGCTAAAAGATCAGCTACGAAAAACACAATGACTTATAACCGTCTGATCTGTACCTGATCCCAGGGCAGCATTTTATTCTGATTCAGTTACATGAGGCCTCACTATGAGTCAGGGTTGGACTTGGTGTCAGCTAAGACCAATTCTCTCCCTCTATCATAATGAAACAAAGAGAACGTGGATCATGGTGGTCTTGGTCACAAGAGATTTCCACTTTGTCAGAGTAATGTACCTAGATGTGCATGTGTGTCCTGGTTCCTGATTTGTTTGCATATACAACTGTGCTGGCAGCTCCCTCGCACATTTCTCAGTGTGAAGCCTCTGGGGGGAATGTAGCTGGCTCAGCCTGCTTTCCTAGCTGAGGATGCTTTTTACGGCATGTCAGAGCACTTGAAAGTTTCCACGCCTCCCTATTGTTGGGGTCACAGATACTTGAATAGATTTATGGATCCATTCTGTTAGTGTCCAATTTGGCACACAGCCGATGAGTGGGATGCGGTTTTATTAGTGCCCCACCTGTTTCTCATCACTTTGGGAGATGGTTTTCTGTCCAAGATTGATGTTTAAGGAAGGCCGCTTTCTTTGAGAGTTAATCTCATAGCTTGGTTTTGCAGAAGCATTTGTTAGGAGGGCCACAGGTAGGTCTTCCACTCAAACTGTGACAGGTGGCGTTTGTACCTGGGTGGCTTAATACCTCAGAATAAAGAATAAGGGAATAGACCATTATTAACAGCTATATAAGCACCATATTATGCTTATATATTCAAGTTTGCACAGTATTGAGATCATTTGGTTGCCTATTTCCTCAATACTTGAATCCATATCACGCTACCCAAACTGATTGAGCTTGCGTGCTTCCATTTCATACGAGGGTAACACTCCCCCTCCCTGAGTAAAGGACTTGTGAGTGTAGCTATAAGAAAGGACCCCACTTAGGAATCTTTCTAATACTAACTTGTGAATATTTTTTAATGTACTGTTTCACTGAAATATTTGTAGAAGGAATGATGTAATGCCTGGGACTTGTTCCTAATATTCTGGGAGATAGAAAAGTGGGCGCGGATATGGAAGAAACAGGCTTGGTGTTAAGAGTTAATTGTTGAAACTGGAGGATGCCTCCATGGGGATTCATTATACTCTTATTCTGATGTGTGTTCAAAATGTTCCTTGCTAAAGAGTTACATAAACAAAAAAGAATCTTGGGGAAGGTAACACACCATTTAAAGTTAACTGTACCATATTAAAATAATGGAAATCATATATGGTGGTTAATGATGAGCCAAGTTCAATATCAGAAGACTAGACGGGCATGGTACCATTATCCTAGCTGATTCACCGTAACAAAGTCAGTTAGCCACAGTTGGGCCATCTGTGAAATTTGAATACAAGGTGGTTTCAGACAGTTGGAAAAACAGAATGAAAGGCCAATGAATTTTTTCCAAAAATTTTTGAAGCCCCTTTGTACTCTTTATTTTATTATTTTTTTAAATTTATAAAAGTGTTATATTATTTCATTATATATATATATTAAACATTTCATTGAGGGCTCTTACAGTACTTGTAACAATCCATACA